AGCAGGGGTGGTGAAGTATTAGCCGGGAAAGGGGCGGAGTTCAGGGGTGGTCGGGTCGGGGTTGTGTCGGAGGGGCGGCAGGGCGGACTTGGGCATGGGATGTGACACACCTCCAGACTGTGCTCCACAACCTGTCCACAGCTCTGTACCCGTTCATCAACCTGGGAGAACATCCTGTTCTTGTTCCAGTGGAATGGGAACAAATATTCTAAGCAATTGACCTGCATGACCACCTCTGCGAATGTGTACACCATGCGTGACGTCTCGCCCGATCTATGCGGCTTTCATGGCACTAGGGGCTCCCAGCCGGGAATAAGGTACGGGAGCATGGCAAAAAAGACCTCTTTTCCAGAACTACCCGACAGAAGCGAGGGGAAAATTGCAGCAGCAACGGGACCGCAGACATCCGTTTCACCATCTGGAGTGAATTTCTTACCCTTCAGCTTCGGCTCACATGCATTCCTAGCCTCCCAAGACTGGGTGTTCTCAACAATGACCATAGCGGGCCCCAGTGCATCGCAGTCTTCGCTTTCGAGCAATTCAGCAGCCGATGTGTCAGCCCTCGACTCAGTGCAGATGGTGGTGAACTCCATGCCGCACTCTATCGTATCCAGCATGGCATTGAAGCCCTTCTCCTAATAGCACCGTCAGAGAAGCTGCATGAGATCAGCAGATAACTGCGCTGAACTCACAAAGCCTAAGTACATTGTGTGCTCACTGGTCATGTTGACGCTGAAAGGAGTGGGCTTCAGGTCATCCAGTGGATCGTCTCTGGGGACGCATTCCAGCGTCCATTCACGAAGCGGGAGTTCGTTCCAAAGCATTATCCTTCTGTATCTGTTCGACTCGGAAAGCTCGTCAGCAAAAGCTACGACCGGCTGTCTGTTGGAGAAGCTGGACGCTGGGTTTGACAGTCACTGGTGTGTTTCCAAAGCATGTGTCATCTGAAAGCAAACCAGACCTAGCGGGGGACCCAGACCGAGCCGCACATGATGGTGTATGATCGGAAGCGCTCCTTCCAGGTCTTCATCCGCTCTAATGACAATCTGGACTCGTTCCTCGCTGTCCTGACAGAAATGCAGGGCCCGCACGGTGGGCATCAGGGCATGAAGATGTATCACTGGGCGAGGCGGACGGGCAATTGGGAGTTGACATTATGTCTCGATCGCAGACTTCCACAGTCGGACATCAACTGGTGAGTTGACTATCTGCCCGTCCTCCAGATCCGAGTCTTCGCCTGTCGATAGCCGTATGTTTTTGTGATGTTTCTGTATGTTTCTGAGTAGATGGGGTTTGTCATCTGCCAGAAGAATGAGAACCGGTGTGGTCGAATAAATCGCCCCAATAGAAGCATCAATATACTTAGGTGTGCTGATGTTTGAAATACACTGATGGTGAAACGGTATCATGCTTGCCTTCCATGGGCAGAGAAACCGAGCAAGCGGCGTGGGTTTCACTCCCGCTCAGTGTATGTTGAATCCACCGACTTTTTTTTTAGTCCGTAGCTTGGGTCAGACACAAGGGGGAGTCGCCAAACCGGTCTTCTGTGCACGCGGTCCATCAATGAACAAGTACAGTATGTAACCCGGAGTAAGGATGCATTAGATTACTTCGTGGTTCTAGTACTTGCAATCGCGGTGACGGCAGCTGCCACGGAGTCGACACAGAGCGCAGCTGCCCGTGTTTCCACGTGAATATATAGTAACGGTTCCCGGCAGGATGGAAACCTTGGAGTTCCACTTGTTCTGTTGACCAGGCATTTACATTGCATGAACAAGGTCATACTTATGCGTACTATAGCGTGCGAGAGACCAGTAAGATCATACAGTGACTCTCGAAGACGAACAAGACGAACAAACAAATGATACATGTACCAACACAACACTGGTCAAGCAGTTCAAGGTAGTGTAGTTCTAGTTTGTTAGTATGCGCGCAGCGCACGATTCGATGGTGCTGCGTCCACCTCGCTCGGCCTCACAGCTGATAATTCTCCCCAAGCTCCCCAATCGCAGCCAGCCGGAACACACGGTCGCGCTCCTCCGCCGCCGCCGCTCGCGCCTTCTGCCTCCTCCTCCGCTCGGCCGTCGGCGTGCGCGGTCCCCGCACCTTGAATTTCTCCACCGCGAAGGGCAACACGCCGGAAAACACCCCCAAAGGAGGAGCGTCCGCTGCCTCGGGTTCAGCTGTGGGTGCAGGGCCCGCAGAAGTCACAGCTGGTTCTGCCGTGGTAGCGTTGGCGGGAGGCTCCTCCACGACAGCCTTACCCTTGGCAGCCTTCTTCTTCTGCCTCTTCCTCGGACGGCTCTTCTTCGCCCGGGGCTCCGCAGGCGCAGCGGGCCTGGCAGAGACAACGGGTGCGGCAGAGACAGCGGGTGCGGCAGGCACGGGGGGCGCTGCAGACACTTCAGACGCGGTCGATGCGGCGGGCACGGCAGACACATCAGACGAGGCAGGCAAAGGGGGAGTAGGGGGCAGAGGGTGCCGATGGGGCCCCGGGAACCGAATGGGCGGACGCGGGAACGTATAGATAGCAGGCGGAGCAGCCCACGCGTACTGAGCAGGCGTCGAGGAGACAGTGCCGTCGTCCCCGCGTGCGCTCGTCGCGCCTTCCACGCTGAGCAGCAGCGACGGGACTCTATCTGGCCACCGCCATCCTGGGATTTGCTGGAACCCGCTCAGGACGTCGCGCGCAGGCTGAGGGGCCGCGGCGGTCTTTGGGAGGCCGGGAGTTGCGTGCGGGGTGTCGAAGTCGCAGTCGAGGTCGAGGGCCAGGGGTCGTGTGTCGCGAGATACCAGATCTAGCGCACCCAAGGACATGGACGTCGCGAGAGGAGCAGGCACGTCGTCGTGGTCATGGTCGTCTTCGAACGCCAAAAGAGGAGCCACGAGCTCGTCTTCGTCTTCGTAGAGGACGCCAAAAGACGCGTTGTCGTCATCTCCTTCGAACGCCAAGGGAGGCTCAGCCACGAGCTCGTCTTCGCCTCCCGACAATGTGGGCAGATCAGCTGCAAGCTCGTCTTCTTCGTCGTCGAGGATGTCGACAGACGCGATCCGCTCAACAAACTTGGCAACCGGTTCACAGTCCTGCGCGCCGATATACACCAGCGGCACGTCCTCGACCGGGGAGTGGTGTGTGTCGTCCGAAACTGGCAGATCGTCCTCAGACTCAGCGGCGACATCCAGAGAACATGTGCGGGCGTCTTCGTCCTTTTCGTCGAAGTCGTTGCGCGCGATCCTTCCAATGACGAGAACGTTGGGCTTAAACTCCTCAACTTCATCGCCCACTAAAGGAGCGTGGGCGTCGACAACCGATGGGACGTGACCTTCAACCTTGGAGACGGTGCCCGAAGAGTGTGAAGGAGAAAGGTCCATATCGCCGAACGATGACAGCGAAGACTTCGGCCACTTGCGATCGTCAGCGGTGCTCCAGCGGGAGACGAAGCTCCATGGGGCCCGCATATAGTCACCGACCAAGCGGAAGGTCGTCTGGAGGTCCTTTCTGCTAAACCCGGCAAGAAGCGGCGACGCACCCACTGTAGTAAACACGGCCGTTAGACATCAGGGATGAATAATTGCGGTTGGTTACGTACCCCGAACGATTTCGACGACAGCCCGGTAGCCATTGTCAAGCAGGAGGGATCCTCGACGTGCCATGAGGGAGCAGCGAGTCCGTACCATGTCGTGCGCCAGGTGAGCCTTGAACGCCATGCGGGAAGCAGCGCTCTTCGTGCCATAGCCACTTGCGGGGTACAGGTCGATGTTGATACGCAGAGCTCGAAGTCCCGATGCAGCAGCCTCCGGTGGGAACATGAGAATGGCCAAGACCCCACGACCAGCGCACGCGATACCAGATGCGACGATAGGTACGAGACATATGAGCACCATGAGGGAAACCGCGACCGAGAGCAAGAGTGCCGACCTGAGGACTACACGTACAGCGCCATAGACTGAGAAAGCGGCATGCGTGACGGAGAGAGTAGCCCGAGTGACGACGAGAACCGGTGCGACCACAACGCAAAAGCCGATGCGGGTGACCTTGGCGACAGAACGAAGACTCGCGAGTACGATGGAAACAACAAGGCGGGTGACCGAGCGAACGAAGGCAGAGATGAGGGAGTGGCTTGTGTGCAGCGCAATCCAGACGCGGCGGCGGATGGAAGAGCAGACCGCGAAGAGTGCCCGGAAGACGCGTACCACGGCATCGATCAGAACATGAACCAGCCAGGGGCCCGTCTCTCCATCGAGATATAGGTCGTTGTACACTTGTAGCCCGAAGAACCTGACATGGTCGTACTTGGCGGACTGGAGGTCTTCACAGTCGAGGTAGGCGGCGGTGACGAGCCAGACAAAGAGCACGGCGACAAAAAGATGGACGATCCTTGGTGGCACCGATGAATCGTGGGCCCAGTCTTCGTTCGCAGGGTCGTCCATACGGCAGTCCTTTCGCCTCCTTGGGTCCTCCAGAAGACGCGGGAGATTCAGCCCACAGGAAAAATGAGTCGAGAGTAGCCTTGTTGCACTGGAAGAGGAGGCGGAGGAGGAGGAGGATGAAGCGCAGAGTTGAGAGCGGCAGACGCCGAAACTCGATCCTGCATGCAGCGCCTTGCAATTGGCAACGTTGATTGGTATCACCGCGACGTGTGGAATTCAAGGAGGTGAAGACCTTTGTGGAAAGAGATGCTCAACTTGTGCTACAAAAGCAGAAGGCAACGATGCTTTGCAGTGCGTATCCCCAGAAAAAGGGGACAACCCTTGTGGAAGGCACTACCAGGGATCGAACCTGGGTTTTGGGAACACTATATCAGAATCCCAAGTGATAGCCACTACACTATAGTGCCCTATGTGCGTATCGTTCTATGCATACATTCGTTCCGGCAGCGAAGGACCAGCATCATTTCAACAATCTAACCCTTCTCAAGTTCTACCCAGTGCCGCAAATTCCGCAGTGAACATTTCCATAGCGTCCAACGTCTCCGTCAGATGTGCGAAGCCAAGTGGTTCTCCGCGACTGTGAGCCAGCGATTGCGCAGTACGACAAGCGTTCTTGATCTGCCGGCCATTGATCTCGCGCTTCGCAAGCTGCTGGACTTGGTCTTCCCCAACGTCGGTGCTCGACACCCCTGCCTTGTGGAGGAACGCACGCCAGACCTGCGCCTTAGCGGAGGTGGAGAGCTCGGCGAAGTGCAGGGCGACGTGGATGCGGGACAGGAAGGCCTCGTCGAACGAGGTGATGCGGTTCGTAGTCAGGAAGAGAATGCCGCGATAGTATTCGACGTGGCGTAGGCTGACGGCGCAGTCAGGATACATATGTATGAAAATGGAGAGAAGGGGATCGACGTACAAAACAGCCACCATGGCATTGCGTTCCAGGTCGTGAAGCGAACGACGCTCCAGGAAGACATCAGCCTGTAGTATGATGGACACTCAGTCGGACACAGCGAGAGGATCGTGTTTCGCACCTCGTCAATAAGCACGATGGCCTTCCAGCTTGTAGCGATGTCGAAGACCCGTTCGAGCGAGAGGTCCAGCTTGGACGCCTTCGTGCCAAGGTCACCACCACCGACAACATACAGTGGGCGGTGCACGTGCTCGCTCGTCGCCTCGGCCGACAACGTCTTGCCGACACCCGGAGGTCCAAAGAGATTGATGATGAGGCCCTGGCCCTTTCCTTGCACGAAGTCGTCAAAGCCGAGATCAGCGTTGTGCGCATCGACGAGCGAACGGAGGAGGTTCTTCCGGTCTGCTGCGAGCACGAGGCCTTGGAACGCCTCGTCGTTCCAGACGATGGGCTTGATATTTTCGACGTTGAACTCCACTATGATCATCGAGTATCAGCGCGCCATAAGAACCAGTAAGTTAAGAATGGCGTACACCAGATCTTGTCGGAGAGGCTGAACCCGTAGACGATGGGTGAAGCGAGCATCAACTCTTCGTCCGTGAGTGACACTTCGTCCTCAGCAGCTTTGCGCTTGCTACTAACATCGAGTGTAGGTACGTTATCGCCCATGTTCTCGTTGCTCCTGAGGGGCGGCAAACCATCTAGTGTACGTCGTGGGAGTAAGAGTGCACGTCGAACCGAGGCGACAAGGGGAATACTCACAGCTTCTCCGGTCTCTGAGGTCTTCTACTTGGTTCTGCTGATTGACGGTGCTCGGGACTGGCATCTCGTAATTCGGATTCAATCTGATGAAGTTTCCTGCTCGTAAATTGGTGTCAACAGCCAGGAATACGACGTGACATCGACAGACAGACCTCTGTCCACCATGATCCTAGAGTTAACCTGCGATGACAACGAACGTATCAGTACATGACGCAGAGGCCTCAACTCGACTAAGACGTACGTTGTATTTGATGATTTTCTTCCGTCCACCAGCAGTGATGGCGAACGCCGCGGTGCCTTCGTAGTGTACGTGATGTATGCCCTTCAACGACGCCCACTTGCGCCCGCGCTCCAGCAGGAGAGTCTTCATC